TCCAAAGCAGTTTTTCGCGTAGTACCCAATAATGTCATTTCATTTGCGGTAACAAAGTACTTTCCGAGCTATTAACAAAAAATGCATCTTTTTAAATGGGACTTTTACGTATACGACGTATATTTTTTCATATTTAACTTCCGCTTAGGCTCAGACACCAACATTCGTTTTTGTCTATCTGGTATAGAAATTGGAGCTTCCATTTAAAAGTGTCCAATTTGGCCCACCCTGTACACAGATGTACACTTTTTCTTATTCTTTATCAAAATGTAATCAAGAACTTACAATCAATTTTAGTGAAATTTGTGTATGTTTATTTGATCTACTTGAATTTAAATGAAGATATTGGTTGTAGAAGCCGCCAATTATCAAATACATATACTTGAGATCTGAATAAAATTCCTGAGAGAATTAAACAAGAACTCGAGACAAGAAATTATTTTTCCCGGCGTCCTAAAAACCCGAAAAACTCACCAGTTTCAAGCCAGTCCTGGACAGCTTTTTGAAACTATTTTGATTGTTGTTGAAAAGTACACATGGATTGACCTGCAATTGTTACGCGAAAAGTTTTCCTTCTGAAGAAAGGATCCCTTCCAAATTTATCGGCATATTTTCAGTTCCTTTTTTTAAGCATATGCTAATAAGTTTCCCTTATTTCGAATTTAGAATATATTAAATCTGTTATATAACCATAGGCGCTAATATCGAGGAATTCCTTCAAGGAAAATATTTAAACCCTAATATAAGGAACGCTGAACATGTGCGATAATAATAAAAATATTGCCGAATTATTTCAGAATGTTATAGGAGATTTTTTTTTATTATTCTTCATGATATATTTGGTTTGAAGAAGTGAAAAGCGCGGAATATTATTTGATGAAAATTTTCAAACACATTATATTAGGAAAAATGTATCTGCATTTGAAGTGTTTTTTTTAAACCTTGGTTAACCGCGAACAGTTCTTCAAGTAACTTATCTTTGTAGCAAACATTATCGATAGTCTAATAGGCAAAGTTGATGCAATTTACTTTCATTTTACAACAGAGTTGGCCTGGGTCAAGTACAGTTTACTATAAAAATTTTGACCTAATAGATATAGTATATTTTAATGTTTAGTCAAAAGTGTTAAAGATAACCCTTAATTTAGCTAAACTTTTTGGGAAATACATTTTCTTTGAGGTTTCCCTCAGAATACATTCTGTGGACTTGCAATGTATTGTGCTTTAATCGATCCTGTTTAAATATACTTTTGTGTAAACGACTAAAAATTATTAACGATATGCAGTTTTACATTTTCGGTATTCGTGAATACTTTTTGCAATTGTCAGATCAACCAATTAGGTGAAAATGCTGATAAATGTAAAATAATTTTCTAAAGACTAAAAAACGTAACCAACTTTAAAAACAATATAAATATGTTTTGAATGAATGTTTACAATGGCATATGTGAGTTCATTTGAACACACAATAGAATATTTTTTTTTAAATCCCGGGCTATGAAAGTATTTTATAAAACGTTTCGTTATAAAGCATTTCGACCGACCTTCTATGAACACACATTTTAACAATGTCGGCGTATTGACCATGATTTGAAATTGTTTCAATTATATTTTAAGGTTTACAAATTGGTGCGACTTCTAATTATTTTGATATATAGGTACTTATTATTTATGTATGCTCTTCTTTACGCCCAGAAGCTGGAGTATGCATAACTTTATGGATTAATTAAAAAAATATGTTTTTTAACTTTATTTTCCAAATTAATACAATATTCTAGAACCGAACTCATTACAATCTTATGACTGCTTATTGACTGGACGTTA